GGAAAAGATAATTTGAATAATCTAATTTCAGAAGATTTTTTTTTTTGGAGGTGGGGGGGCGGGTGGAAAGAGAGAAAAACCTCCTGAAACTTGCAAGTCTAAGTTGCTGGCAGTATAAAAGATTTAACACCATGAGCAACTGGAATCAAATGGCAGCACAGCCCACACATTCCCCATGAAGAGCACAGGATCAGGGGTGACTACTCCTGAAGGGACAGGGACTAGGTTCACACACTGCACAAATCGGGGTTTGCCTAACATCACCCTGAATAAACAGACACCATGCTGTTAAAAAAAAGGACAATTTAGTGATGAGACAAAAGAAAATAAATCTTGAATGGAAATTTTACTCATGCTACATATACAGTCTCTTGAATTGTGATCTAAATCCTGTCACTTAACTCTTCCCATGTCTTGCCGGCCCCACACTAATTTTAAATGTAATACCTCACACACACTTTGGTACGCATTTCTCTTGTGCCTAGTACTGTGTTGCCTACAAATTGTAGGCCTAACTTTACACACACACACACACACACACACACACACACACAAAGTTAATTAAATAAAAACCACTTACTTCTATTTCCATATGGACACAGCTTGCTAACCCATCTCTTGCAATGCCTTCTACGGTGTCCCTATTTAATCCATAACTGTAATTGCCATAATTAAATGTTAGAATGAATTTCCCCTGGAATTCGAGAAGTACAAAGATTTTCATGTAATGGCAACCATAATGAAATTTAGTATAAGTAAAATAAAATAACTTGATCTCTTATTTTCAACAAATATTAGCAACTGTAAGAATGACAAAATTATAACAGGGTTATGAAACTGAACATCAAACTGTGATAGAGAAATTTACTCAGAATCCTCAGCTGACAAAAATAGGTTTGTGGAAATAATCTGTTGACAAAACATTAGAGGATGGTTAAGGACTGAAGCTTACTGTACAACAGACCATTTGGATTACTTACACACTTTCAACCAAACCGGCACCACAAACCTTCATTAGAGACAGTGAAACTCGTAGCCTGCTCTTTGCCTCCACCATTTCACTCTGCCAACATCCCAGGTAGTCCAGAAAAGGCTCCCATTCCCCAAAACCTTGCACTCCAAGATAAACCATGAGTTACAGCTAAATCCTGGGGGCTACGATATACATGGACATCCTCAAAAGTTTAAAAAACAGACTCACCATGTTTTCCCTCATAAAGACAGCTTTTTATTGAAACTTCTCCAAATATTATTCAGCATAATTATTGTCTGCCCTATAGTCATCTGAACAACAAATACCACCCCCTCTGTAATCCAGAAGCTCAGTTCTTCTGACAGCTATACTCCCTTGCAAAACATACAAGAAAAAACACCTATCTCAAAATTGCTTGTGACTTTTTCTTTGACAATAGTATATTTATTAACTAAGTCTAATATAAACTGAAAGGCTGATGACAACAGAAGGAATAAAAATGTGGATGACCTTAGTAAGTGTGATTTCTCATACATATGACTTTAAAGCAAATAATGAAGTGAGAACTTCCAGGGCTGCATTGAATCTCACCAAAGGGCAGCAACATCATTAAGAATAGCAAGCAGTTAAGAGTCTATTGCTATCCTCCTGGGCCCAGATGTTCTGGAGATGTGTGCAGATGGAGGATGGGTTATCTGTCAGGGGAAAGGTGTGGAGCAGAATCACAGGATATCTCTTGGGATTGGCTGGGTCTCTGGGAGATGTGTCTCCTGCGGGTGATGAGGAAAATCCATATCCCCCCATAATCAAAATAAGTTTCTGTTATGTACAGTATTTCCAAAGGTAAAAACTCAAAACAATCCTTAAAATTTTACTTTTTCAATATCATACTGTCTCTGTTCTTTGGGAAAAAAGGTACTGTGACTCCTTTTCTTTATATATACATATATATGTATATATAAAATATATATGTGGAGATAGATAGATAGATAGACAGACAGACAGATGTATCCCTAACCCTAACTCTAGCTATCTAGGTCTCCTCCCAAATATATATGCTTTATCTTTTACAGTGTGTGATAGTTAATTTTATATGTCAACTTGGAGGACATCTGAGGATGAGATTAACATTTAAATTGGTGAACAGTGTAACAGACTGCCCTCCACAATGTGAGTGGGCTTCACTGATGAGGGGAAGACCTGCATGGGACAAAAAAGTCAGCCTTTGGACTTCACCTGCACCATCTGCTTTCCTAGGGCTGCAGGCAGGCAGATTTGGGTTTGCCAATCTTCATAACCAGATGAACTAAGCCCTTTTATTATCTCTTTCTATATATATCCATACACCCTATTGGTTCTGTTTTTGTGGAAAAACCTGGCTAGTAATCTGACACCCTGTTTTCAAAATGTATAGATATTTGAATTACTTTTCAGATATGTGTTTGCTTACATGTTTGTATAAGGATGTTCTTCTGTAGATGCCAAAAACATTTTTTGGATGGATGCACGTTTGATCCCATTAAATTGATTTGTTAAGCATTGAGATGAAGTAGTCTCCCTGTTCTGGCTGCAATACTTTCATTTCTTGCTGCATGTGGATTTCCATAAATAACAATAGTCATACTTCAAAAGTTCCCAGGTCTATGCTTTCATTTCCACAAGGCAGAGAGCATTTCTGTAGATAAGTGATCACATATGTGCCTATGAAAAGGGTTCAGGTGTCTATGGACCACATTTGGGAATAATCTGTGGGCTGGGGGAGGCATCTGTTGGAGGAGGCCTGTGGATATGGGAAGGTGCAGGTCCATATGTCATGCCTGTCACAGAAGGTAGGTGTGACTGTCCACAGTAGGTGTTGGGGGAGGGTAGGCCAGGGTGTCTGTCGAAGTAAGCCATGCTGTCAGGGTGGGAGTTGTGAGTGTGTAGAGACATCTACATACAGAGGGCTGAGTATGTGGGTGTGACTGGTGCATCTGACAATGTGCCATGAATTTATAATTTCTAAGTTTATCGCCTATTAAACAGTCTCACACTGATGTTAAAAGAGATCACAGGCAAAATTCAAGTAGAACAAAATGACAGTATATTAAAGTAATATATGTTAGCAGAAACAGTAAAAATGAGTACTTCTAAAACACATGGGGATTTTTATAGAGTGTAAAACTACAAGGCTAAATATAACATGGAAGCATAGTGATTTCTTAGACTAGGAACTGAACTAGACTCACTTGATTTCAGACCTGATAAAGGTGTGGAACATCAGGGGAGCGCGCAGGGTCCCTAACGACAGTGAACTCAATCAATAGGAAAATACCTCAGAGTCTAACAGGAAAAACTAATAATTTTGGGAACTACTTGTCTTTCAACCTAAAGAGTCTCAAAAGAGCCTATGACCATACCATCCGGAATGTGCCTAATCTTGTTTAAAGAATCTTAACAGAATGGTTCTTTGTAATATCAAGATAACTCCTTCAATCTCTGTTGAGGCTTCTAGAAATGCACAATTCCAGAGGAATCAATAAATCCAACTAATTGCCAAAATAGAGGCCTTAGAAAGAAAATTATAATGACCATGATGTTCTTTTGACAAGTTTCGAGGAGAAACTGCCCAGGGAGTGTAGGACTTTCTCACTAGCGCTTCTCTGTGAGTGCAAAAGTCCTAGAAACACACTGTGTGCAGGGGTGGTCCTTCAGAACTGAGTTCATGGAACCTGAAGAGCTTAAATGCTCCATGATGCCTAAATGTTCCCTGATAGTGTATTCTGAGGGTACAAGCCAAGGTCTTTATTCAGGGGTGAAGACAAAGACTGGAGGGAGGAAAGAGACGGAGACAGAGGAGAGGGAAAATGTACCTATCCGTGTCGCAGGATGGATGGTGATCTTTCAATGCCAGAAACAGATCAGGCCCTTCAAGAAGGCTTTAGAAGAAAAAGTAGCAGTGTTGGATTCATTTGGCAACAGAAAGAAGGATAATATAAGCAAAAATAAGTCTGATGGTGAAGAAAAACCCAGAAGCTTAGAGGTTCATTAGCAGTGACGAAGATGTAAGGCACAGTTTAACTGAAGTCATGGCTAGGTATGTACTGACATTCCCACAGATAAAATATCTTAGGATTGTGAGGACTAGCTTTCTCTATGAAGGCCAAGAAGAAACAAATAAATTGTTTTTTAAAAAGTGAATTCAAAGACAAGGGTGCTGAGCATTACTACCAACGACTATTACTATCAGGGTTTCTGTAAAAAACAAAACAAAAACAAAAATATTTCAACTCAAATGATATTTACAAGTACAAAATTTAACTTCTCCCTTTTAAAAAAATCACTATTGCCTAATATTTCTGAACTAGAACATGTATTACTTATGCAATAGAAATAAAGTCTCCTTACCATGTTGAGCATTTCATCGAAAACTTCTTGAGAGATAAAATGATAATCAACTCGATCCCCTTCTCCAAAGTATGGTGGCCTTGTAGTGTGACAGGCCCTAAAATCACAAAATAGACAATGTAGTCTATTTCTATTACCTTGAACTTCCAAATGGAGATGGTTTCAGTAAACAAAATGTTTAAAAATTGAAATTGATCTATATAGCATAAATCATAAAATAATCTAATTGTGAAGACACTGTGGTTGTAAAATGCTAGACTGCATTCAATCACTATAGACTGTAAGGATTATACAAATTTTAGATTATTAGTATCAAATTTTTACTCACTGCTATTTTATCACCTTCTGAATCACTCCCTCTGCCACCACCTAATAATTCTTAAATAAGTACAACAATATCCATTACCCTACTAACTGCTTTCATGTTCTCTCTGCTGTATGCACATTTTCTGCAGGCTCCCCTCCTCTTTCTCCACCCTGCTGGCCCTCTTGTTTTGCATGACTAAATCTGTCACCCCTCCTAGCATTTTCCCTGAGCTCCAATGACTGCACTGTGCACCTCTTCATACCCCCATAGCCTCAATCTGTGCCAGCTGCAGTCTAATGCTTGTTCAACACTATCTCCTCCAACACTGGAGGGCAGAAACATCTCATTCACCCTGTGCTGCAAGTCCATGTCAGTACTTTACTTGACCTTCCTATAGGAATCTACAAGTCTGATGCTGAATGGAATTCTCAACTCAACCAGAAAGGCCTTTTCTATCCACTCTTTAAAATAATATCCCCACCCTATAAGACTCCTGACGACTATTACCAGAACTGTCTTCTTTCATATACATTTTTTCTATATTCCCCAGAACATACAAATTATGAGGGGAGGACCTTGTCTTGTTCATCTTGCATTCCCAATGCCTGACATATAGCAGATATTCACTAATTAACTATAAAATTAATAAAAATGAAACACATAAAGCAGCTAACAGCAGCTAGGAACTCCATTGTATAGTTAACTATTAAAGTGACTTCCCCAGGGTCAAACTGCAGGCTGGGCAGTTCTGGGCAGTCCCAGAACAAGAATATGGGGTCCCTGCTACCCAGGACTCTGGATTTCATATCATTCTGCCTTCTCAATATTAAGTTCTAGGAGTGTAAACTGATTTTTAGATTATCCTAGGATTTTAAAATGAGATGAAAATAGCCAAACACTTGACATGTTGTTTCATTTATTTCTCACAAAAACCATGAGGCAGATCTTAGTTCTTATTTCTATTTTACAGATGATGAAACTGAGGCATAAAAATGATGTATGCTCCTAAGTAGCACCACGAGGATGACTCCAAAGTCAACTGTTTTTTAAATAGCATACTGATTAAGAAGGTAAAGTTGCTACTTCAAAAACCTACACGTCATAAAATCAAAGACAAATGTTTATATCTGACTGTTCCCCTTCTATTATAATCAAGAATTAATGGCACTAGCACATTTTCAGGTCTTCACATTAATTTAAGTTACATACTCTGGAAAGAATATACATCCTCAGAGATCACTGTCAAAACACTGTGACATTTGTTTTGTGGTTTGAATGCACTGGCATTTCTTCCCCAGCCTTGGCAGAGACCTGAGATCCTCTGTCTACTGGTGTCCTTGACAGTCAAGGAAGATAAATCCGTGGCCTGGCATCCTGTGCTGCGAACCCTTAGCACAATCTTTACACGCTACACTGAATTTACATTTCCCTACAAAGGAATTGAGTGGCAGGCACTTTTTTCAGAATTTTTAAAAGGGAAACAAAACAAAGAAGCAATCTGAAGCATGTAGGCAGGTAAACAAAGAGATGCTCCACTGATGTGGAGAAGGTTGATGACAGAATCTGCAACTGTATAGAACTTTCTATTAAGAAGGGCCTAAGATGACCTGTGGGTTTTTTGAATCTGTCATCCAATTTTCACATATAGAAATTTTCACTGTGTAGTACACCATCCAACTGTGAATATCATAAAAGGAATACTTCATAGTGAAAGCAATGTTTCACAAAACTTACTTTTAAAAAATGATGCTAAATTTAGAAAAATTTATTTGAGTCATCCCTTTCAAATATCCTTCCCTCTTCTGCCTAAATACTTCCATGAGGGGCCGGGGATTTAGCTCAGTGGTTTTACCACCTGCCTTGCAAGCGGAAGGATCTGAGTTCGATCCCCAGTACCAAAAAAAAAAAAAAAAAGAAAGTAAATAGGTCCATGAGTTTGTTCTTTATTAATTTACTAGATAAATCAAGGTAAATAATCAAATCATGGTTTGCAATGGAAGCTACACTTCCTGTTAGTTTTACTTAATAGACAAAAGGACTGATTTGGACATTAACCCCAGACTGCAACTCTGGTCCTAAATAAAAGTCTAGAGTAAGTTTAGACATTCCAAAGGCCAATTAATTGGTGAACTGTCATCAAGGCTGCTAAGAAAAAAAAGGACAGGAGATGACCAGGAGCAAAGGGAATGTGGAAAAACAGGTCAAATAACAGAATGCTAAAATATCCGGGGAAATATAATAGGAAGAAAAGACGTCTAAGAACAGCTGGCAAATGGATGAGGAAATAGGCTTTTTTTTTTTTCAGTGTGATTCAGAAGCATGCAGATTTAGAATCTCAATTTGTGACCAGATTGGCTCAGGAAACACTGCACTTCCTGATATTACCAATAGTTAGGCAGAGGCTTGGCAGTGAGCACATATGAACTCAAGCACATTACAGCATGCCATATTGTGAGTGAGCTTTTTCAATGGGTATCCACAAAAGCCCAGATATTCCTAGAACATTTTATAGGTAGATTAAGTTGGTTTTCACACTCAATGCTAGTATACATCAATAAATTGCTGGACACAATTTAAGGGACCATGAACACAGGGATTTCCATACATACTATGTCTGAGTATCAGATTTCATGAAGCCCCTACTCTGCTCATGTTCCCTTAACTACACACTGACCCCCAACTCCTGCCTTCATCACCTGTTTCTGTATTCTAATTGGTCTTCTCACCTTCCTTCCCCAAGCCCCGTCCTAACTGCTGACAGGATACTCTCTAAAATGCAACTGAAAATATTCCATTCCCCTGCTTAAAAGCCCTTTGTGACCAGACCCATGACTATCTTTCCAGTCTTTTCTTCTGCATTTTCCATCATACTTCAAGCTTAGGCATGCTACCATCAGTGTTCTCAGTTAATAAAACTTGTCTGTTGTTCTCTACAAGGAATGCAAAAAGCAACTCCACTTAAGGTCCACATCCTGCTTCTCTTTTATTTTGAGCACTCTTTACTTCCTCATCATTGCAAACTATCTTGTTAGACAGCATTTCCTGTCTAAAGCCCATGCCAGATTGACTGGAAGCTTCCAGAAGGAGAAGACCCACGTCTGTTCATTTCAGTTTTTATCACCAGCACATGGCATGTGGACAGTGCTCAATAACTACTGGCTGAATGAATAAATGAGCCATTCTTCAAATCTGTTATATTTGTATAGACAGAGTAGACTGTATTTAGGTTGCTATACCTCATACCACCTCATGCAACTACTTTAGTATAATGCAATTATTTATGATGTGAAAAATAAAATATATTTAGTAGTAAACATCATGAGGTTATGAAAATAGAGATTGTTATAAAATAGAAATTTAAAGAAGAATAAAGGTTTTCTTTCAAGTCTATTCAGATCCATAACATGACCTTAAATTTGGAAGATTAAAAGGCACGCTGGTATGGTTCTGTGGTGCCCTCATTATCCAGCATATTTCCAAGAAGCCACTGATTTGAGTGGCAATATAAAATTAGAAATAGACTGTGAAAGCAGTAAATGTGTATCTCCAGGCCACTCATAACTAACAGAGGTAAAGAAAGAACATCCAACCTATTTCTAAAAACAAATAGTAAAATCACAACCTAAGACTAGAGCAGAATTTCTCAGCCACACCATTTGTTATATGATTGAATTTTGTTTTTATTTATCTATATGGATATACAACTTAGCATGTGAAAATTTCACTGAAATGTCTGGATCTTCAGTCAATATAATTTAAAAAAGAAATAAAACACCAGGAGAAAATAAATAGGAGGAAAAGATTCAAGCAAGTGGCAGGGAAAATGCCTTTATAAATGCTTTTATATTTCACAAAGAGACTATATCCATGCCTGCTTTCATTTAATCAAAAATCAATAAAACTTACGTTGGATAAAGAATTTAAAAATAAAGTCTAAACAAAAGCATTACCTTGCCCCTGAAGATGTGCTTTGGTTTTATCTTCACTTTTAAAGGAAGTTCCTGCATATAATGGTAGAACTCTCTTACTTTCTCAATGGATGAAATTATTAGCTATCTAACACCCTTTTTTTTCCAGTGGCATGGTCTTTGCCCTAGGCCTTGATGGAATTCTCAGAATGATGTGTACCCCCTAAGCTAGCCCTGGTCTCTGCCTCCGGCAGACCTGACACTGAGTGGTTGGCCCATACTCTTGAGCCTGTGAGGGAGGTGGATGAGTGAGGATGTAATCAGTAGGGAGAAGTCAGGAGTATTTTTCCACTCACCACTAATTCCAGCCACAGGAGAAAAATCCTAGAAGCAGCACTGACAGTACTGGATATGAAGTTCATTTTAAGGTTCCATTTTGCCATCTCAGGCCACCACACAAACTACACAGCACTAATTATATAAGATCTGAATTACCCCCCACATTATATGTTTCATAAAGGCAAGGACCTCACCAGTCTTGTTTTCATTCTATCCTCAGAGACAAGCACATGGGAAGAACTCAATAAATATTTAATGAATGAATGAATGAATGAATCCATCCAATTCCCCATGTACCAGAAACATCATCTTTGCCTCTAATCACAGCTATTTCCACTAAGCATTGTATATGTTACCATTATTCGGCTATTCATTCACTCACTCAGTCATTTCACAGATATTCACCACACATATATTAAGTACCTGGCCATGTGCTGTGCCCTGAAAACTCAAATGGTAAACAAGGCTGACATGGTCCCTACCCTGATTGGGGTTACAGATGAGCAGGAAAAAACAGATATGAAATAAATCAATCAAAGCTTGATAAACTTTCTAATAAGGAAAATGTAGGATTTAGTGAAAATGAATAATGGGGGCGGGCAGGTAGGAATGTAGAAGCAGATTACACCAGAATCTTGATGGGGATTCAACAAACACCTCTAAGAATACATCAGACCAATCATGCAGTAGCACATCACAAGCAAATAAAAAGGACTGGGCTACCAACTATTAGCAACATAATTGGTATCGGAGATATGAAAGAAACCAGAGAAAGCTGTGGCTTCCTAAGTCACTTTGGTTTGCTAAAATGTTCTAAATTTACACATTAGCACACACCTTTTTGTCCTTATTTGACCTTCTATTCACAGTATTCAGCTTATCTTTTAAAACAGGTTAGGTGCCTCCATATAAGCATAATGGCACTATATACTTTTTAAATTCTAGCATTAACTTTTATTTTTGTTATTTCAGGGTGTTTAAAATATAGCAAATTAAAATAAGCAAATTATTCTATACTATATGCATATTAGAGTTGTCCAAATGTAGTCTGCAATTTTAAATACCTAAATGAATGAAAAATGAAATGTAAAGTGGATAACAGCTGCTAGGAACTCTATTGTGTGAACATATGTAGCTTAAGTGAAGGGCTTCTTGTGACAGCATTAGAAAAGTTTGCACTTATTTTTCTTGCTGTCCTGCATATATTTGTAGTCACATCCTGAGCTCATCAACATGTAGTACTAATCTAAAAGTAATTCTTTTTGCCACACATAAAAAATAAAAGAGGAAACCTATTTAAGAGAACACAGTGACAATTCTAAATCTGACTCCCAGAAACTTCTAAAAAAATTTGTAAATCCAGCAGGACAGTTTTCTTGGATGGAACTAGTCTTCCGGACACTATCCTCTATTTTAACAGGGCCACTAGGGAATCACTCAACACAATATTTGCTCCAGAAAACTTTAGTGTATTGACTACTCTGCTGAAGGAAAGGACAGGAAACAACTTTGCTGCCCCTTCTCTGTCCTTCCTCCTGAAATATGCCTTAGAAGAGGAAGGCAGGTCTGGAGACACAGAAGCTCAAGTACTGCCAGAGCAGGAAGGAGCTTTGGGGACGTCCCTGGAGCACAGCCCCACGCACCAGTGCACTGCCCACATGCTGCCTGACACACTGCCAGACAACAGCAGAGGAATCCTGCCTTCAAACACCATTCTGCTCAGTTACAAAGCAGAGTATTTTCAAACCCTGCAGAGAGATTTGGGCTGGCATTGAATTAAGTTAAACATGAGCAGAATTAAAGTTAAATAAATACACACACACACACACACACACACTATAATATAATAAATGGAAAAGAAACTTGAACCTCTTATGCCAAAAATGAGCAATGGCATAGATGTACCATGCATATTTACTTGTCTGATACAGTGGTCATTACTAAGTTTACTGTCTGTTGCACAAACGAGAAACTATTTTACTTCTTGCTACTTGCTAAGTTCTTCTGTAACTAGGAGTACATTTTAACAAGCATCTCTACCACATCAATTAGAATGAAATGAGAATCAAGATTCCTGGTATTTCTAAGACCAGATAATCACATTGATCTGATTTTATCAATAAATTACCTTCAAGGACTCTCAGGTTGCTCTGTCCCTACCAAGAGTTCATATCTATTGAGCATTCAATGAGCTTACCACTTGTAGCTCTGCTGTAAAATGGATCATAAACAAGTTGCTTTGTATATTTGTGAGCTTGTTTAAGTAGTCAAAATTAGCAATATCTGAGATTTTTATCAGGAATCAACAATTTGGAAGAATTTCTGAGGCTTACAAGTCAATAAACAAACTTACCCATATCTGAAGTAAGTATTAAACTGTCTGCAGAGGCGGTGAGCAAGTTCTCGTTTCCCACAAGCTTGAGGCCCAGCCAGTATCAGCATGGGATAAGGGGCATCCAAACTGGGAAGAGTGCTGCAACACAGGACCAGGCAATTACTGTCCCACGCCTGTCAGAGAGGCCACATATTAATTGTAGCCATTTGACCCAATCTCCATTTCATAAGCATCATTAATTACTACTTGCTGTATCCAGACAGGGCAGAAGGATGTGCCTACTTTCCAGAAACAAGTTGATTATAATTATCAAAAATAATCTTCAAAGTATAGGTAACAAGGTAAAATACAAATTTGTGTAAATTTATTTTAAAAAGCTTTTTTTAAAGGAAAATGTGGTAAGATATTAGTTCCTGCTAAAGCAGTCTCAGTAAAAGGAATGACTGTTCTCTGAGCATTAATGTTTAACATTCATATCTATTACATTAGAATGCAGGTAGGCATAACAAACAATAATAACAACTAAAATTTACCTGAGTAATTACTACGTGACAGGCACTATTCTAGGAGTTTTATGTGTAGCTCCTTAATTATAAGAAACTAATAAAGATATTTCTGTCATTATCCCCACTTAGCACATGAAGAAACTGAAGTACAGAAAGGTTAATTAACTTGCTCAAAGGAAGAGAAGAGTTATATACAACTCTAGGCTTAGCTTCCATGCCTGAAGACTGAAATGAAGAATGAATTTAATAAAATCTCCTGCGTGTTCACTCATGAAACAAATTGTAGAATTACCCAATAAAATGTTTTGTGGTAGTGGAGACTGAACCTAGGCCTTTGAACTGAGCTACATACACAACCCTGTTTTGTTTTGTTTTTTAATTTTGAGACAGTTTCTCGCTAAGTCACTGTTTCCCAGGATGGCTTCAAACTTACAATCTTCTTGCCTCAGCCTTCCAGAGTTCTAGGATTACAGACACACACCAACAAGCCTGATTAAAATAAGATATTTTAAAATACATTTTAGGTGTGGATTCAGTAAAAACTATGAAATAGCACATTATCCAGGATCTCTGAGTACCCACAGAAAAACATAAAAATTTAAGAACAAGAGCCCTTGGAAAACATTTATAACAAAACTAGATGAAAGAAAGGGTATCTCCAGGAAAACAAACCCTGACAAAGCCTGCCTGGTCCTAGAGTCTGTGTGGAAGACGCCATGGGGCAGGGCCTGGCAGATATGAGGACAGAGAACCCCAACAGCCACTAGGTACTTGCTAGATGCAGACAGGCTCAAACTGTACATGTGCAAAACCTGTTCATGAATGTCCATAGCAACTTCATTAGTAGCCAAAAGCTGAGTCTACCGAGATATCCTTACCAGGTGAATGGTTAACTGTGATACATTCACAGCACGGAATACTACTCAGCAATAAAAAGGAATGAACTGTTGATACATGAAACAACTTAGGTGAATTTCTGGAGAATTATGTTGAGTGAGGGTATAAAAATCCAACCACCAAAAGTTGTACTGTATGATTCCATTTATGTGACACTCTTGAAATAATCACAATTTAAAGATGGGGACAGATTCACGGTTGCCAAGGATGAAAAGATGAAAGAGAAGGAGGTACAGTTATTACAGACAGCTAAGTTAGGTAAAAATATTTTAGGCAGTCAGCTAGGGCTGGGCCCTCAAGAGAGTCAGTACAAAAGATAAAAACATTACAACTGTGGCCAGAGGTTCATCTGTTGGAGACCAGGCTTCAAGATAAAGACAAAATGACCAGGCCTACATACTTCCCCATGGGATGAGATAAGTGGTAACACTTGGCCCAACAAAGCCTAGATAGACATCAGTCACCTTGGTGGGTGACCAAGACCCTTGGACCTATCCGTCCCTTAGAAGTTCTTTGTTCTTTTCATGTACACCTGCTTCGTGACTTGCTTCCTCGTTGGATCACTATTACCAAAGTGAGTATACTTGAAACCTTATTGGTTGATCATAGCTTTAACCCACATCGTACCCTTGTGGTTGTGTTCTATAAAACTTCCCCTGTAAAGTGAGATCCCTGGCCACCCATTCGGGACCTTTCCTGCCTCTCAGGAGCTATATCTCTCAATAAATATTTCCTATTCTTAACCTCTGTTGTTCCCTAGAATTCATTATTTGATTTTGAGGAACACGAACTGGCACATCTGACATCTAGCAGGTTGGGAGTTATAATATTTTCCTATACCATATGAGGTCCGATATCATTCCCATATCACTGTGGCTATGAGAGGACATCACCAGGGATCCTCATGATGAAACTGCTCTGTATCATGAATGTAGTGGTGTGCAGATGAACCCACCCATGTAATAAATTTGCAGAGAACTAAAAGCATATGCAAGTACATGAAAAACTAGTGAAATCTGATAGTGTTGGTGGATTTCCTGGTCAATTTGCTGATTCTGATACTCAAATAAAGTTATGTAAGATCATCCTTGGGGAAAATGGTGGAGCATATGTAGAATTCTCAGTATTATTTCTTACAATTGCCTGTGAATCTGCAATTATCTCAAAATAAATTCTTTTTTAAGAAAAATGCCTAAGAAGAAAAAAAATATTTGAGAAAGTGACAAATACTGAAAATAGGCAAAGGAGATTTTCCTAAAGAAGAAAATCAAAGCAAAGGAACAGGAAAATTTTAAAGACTAATTCAAAAAATTTTTCTTAAAACTAAAAAAAAAACTAAACAAAAAAGGGGGACACATTATACCTAAAATATCCCAGAACAACTAATAATAAGATAACATCTAGTAAAATTACTGGACATCAAGAAAAAGAAAAAAAAAACAACTAGAAAAAGACAGCATAGGATTTTATAAGGGAAAACAAATTATTAGATTTTGATAACAACGTTTTATGCCAAAAGAAAATAAAGCGACATCTTTAATATATTCAAGGGCAGAAAGTGTGAGCTATGAATTCTATATTTAGCAAAAATGACTTCCAGGTATGAAGGACACAAACTATAAATACGTAAGAATGATCTTCTAGCTCTTCCTGAGGAATCCTTTAGAAAACAAGCTTTGCACAACTAAAATGACTCAACCAACATCAATATAAGGACTCATAATAAACATACAATTGCCATAGACTAATGAGAACTAAGACTAAATAAAAACGAAGAAGAAAGTATAGTATGTGATGTCTGTTATGTTTTAACAATAAAAGCACAATACACTACTCTTTAAAAGGAGTGGTTGGTACAATATATGGAATAGGCAAATTCACAAAAACAGTAAATTAGAGGTTATCGGGGGCTGGGAGCAGGGGAAGGGGTTGAATGGGTAAACAAGGGCAAAAATGCTTTTAATGACTTTCAGTGATCATGCGGGTAATAGTATTGGGCTTCTGATACCATTGTGATAAAACGTGGACTTTAAAATATACGTAATTATGGGATTTTGCAATTCTGTATTCCTCTGTGTGCTTGAAAACCAGGATTCTTTGGGTGGGAGAAAAGAAAATGATATGTGAGAGAGAGAAGGCTAAATAAAGCCTTGACTGTTGTCTTGAAATTTAGTTCCAAGTATCATTATCAGGAGTTCTAGATAAATCTATCTAGATACAGAGAAATAATTAGATGGAATAATGTAGACAGGTACAGACAGGATGGGTGGATGGGTGGATGGATAGATATATGGATGGATAAATAAAAATGAAAAATGTTCTTAGTTCTTTTCACTAAAAGGCCTAGAAACAATGACCAATTCAACAGCAAACAATACTGCTAGCACTCAGACTGAGACTAGGATGTACCATTTTTCACAAAAATCAGTGCTTCTTGGAGAAATAGCTAATTCTAGATTTGGGACAGAACACATACAAGATGAGTCTGAGGATGTTTGTCATACTAAAGAGCAAGGGAGCTATCGATGGCTACCCGGCCAGTCAAGGTTTGTCTGTGTCATTCTAGGATGGTATTCTTGCCCCAATCATGCCAAAAGAGGGGCCAGTGATTCTCCAATAATGCAACATACATTTCACAAGGTCAAGAGTCAAAATGACTCCTGGAGCTGTGTGCTGGCTTGGCATGGGAAGGGAAATGTCAGGCAGGCCAGCTACTGGTCTAGAACTGTGAGTGCTGTTCCATTCTGAACTCCAGGCCTGCTTGCCCTTTGCTCTTTGCCTGATAGCCAGAAATGATTAAGAAATGCACATTTATCAAAACACCGCTGCAAATATTTGATACATGCTTTTATACAAATGTACCCTAAAGCATGAAACAAGTATCAATATTATAAACTAAAAAAGAAATACAATGAGGATATAAATATACTTCCTTAAATCAAATGTGCTTTTCCAGATGTATGCAAATAAATGATAAATCATTTCACCTAGAGGGATCTCATTCACATATAAAACTGTCAGTGTCTACATTATCAAATTATATGTAAAACTCATGTCCTGGGTCACAAAAATAAAACATTTTGCTCTCTGTGGGAAACCAACCAGGTGAAGTACAGGAGCAAATACCACATGAAGAAAAAAAGCCATTTACATCTGACAGTTTTACAAGTATTTTTAAAGTGCCTTTGGGTATTGATAGAATTTCTGCATTATACTTATAGCACAAATGGCCATCTGTTTCAACAGATTGTTTTAAAAGAAATGGAGAAACCGCGGTAAATCTGTCTTCAAATTTAGAGGTGAGAGACTCTATTCATGTGTTCAACCAAGCTGGGCCACTCCTTCCTGCTGGGTTGATTGTAGCTCAGTACAAAGACTATTTCAGGTTTCCCTCAGGCTAGCTGGGCTTCCTTCTAGGGACTCTCTAATAATCTGAATTCACAGAATGCTCTTTGGCTGGGGTATTTAGCATTCTTTCACACCCAAGGGAAGATTTATAATGGATATGAATGATCACAATTTTCTATTAATGAGGCTGTCTGTGATAGTTTCCTAAGCCAGAAAAGTTGACAAACTTTAAAGATTTCACTGTCATATGGCTCCGGGTAGCTAACATACAAGGGGCCAGATGAAAGAATGAAGATCAATCAGCTCACACCATGCCTGGGAAAACACCAACCAGTGAGTGAGTAAGAAGCCCGTCCCAGTTCACGATAACACGCCATGACAGACCTATAACCTTCCAAATAAAGACCAGGCCCTTTCCTCAGAGAAGGTGCAAAAGTATCATTTACAGGAAATGAAGGGACACAAAATAGAGGGCTAAAGAAAATGATGAGGTTCTTCTTTGCTGGCTACCCTGAGCTTACCCCATAGGATATTGGTAAATACCTGTCAAAGATCCTCTGAGGTCGCATAACGCTGTTGACAACGTGGGTCAGGTGATCTTGAGCTGCGACCACTTCAGGGGGAGGGTCATATTTATTCACAGCTGCCACCTTTTCCAGAATTAGAAGAGTAAGAGGGGAAAATGACTTGTTTCTAAAAATAAGCCAATGTTCAGGTTTTCTTTAATGAAATAGTTGAGACATACAACCAGGTATACAAAATAATTAAACACATAACCATGAGCCTTTGTATTCAATCTTCATATCAACTCTAACTTTCCAAAAAACTAAATAATGATAATTATTTTTAAATATTGAAAGAAGTCTTCTGATCCCCTGCTTCTTTATAGTTCTTCATTTGAAAGGGGAACAGGGGAAAGGAAATCCTGAAGTTCATAGTTACTTTTAATATAGTAAACATTCCAACTTTTAGTAAGAGAAGGAGGGATAAAATTTATAGATTCCAGGTAGTTGATTCTGGTGAACTTTTTTCTCATACTGTATCCTCAAGAATTATGCTCACGGGGGCTAGGGATATAGCTCAGTGGCACCGCACTTGCCTGGAAAGCTCAAGGTCCTGAGTTCGATCCCTGGTACCAAAAAATAAAATTTTTTTTAATTCTAAAAAAAAGAATTATTCTCATGATTTTGCATTCTACAAAAACTCTTAGCTTAACTTTCTCTAGTCAAGGGTACAAAGTAAGATCAAAAAATATGATGAATGTTTAAATAAAAATGTATTAGTGTGTCCTTATCCACTTTATTCACCAGATTTGGCACTGTATGACTTCTGGCTCTTTTCCAACATCAAAATGATTGTGAAAGGCAAATGAATTGACTCAGGGTAGAAGGCAGCCATGAAAACACAATTAAAGCTGAAGGACCCTAGTTAGCAAGACAGACTCCATATTGCTGCTTGACCCACCTGCCTGCCCTTTAGATGAACTCAGAAGGAGGAAGCTTAAAAACCTCTTCCCCTTAGAAAGTCTCTTTAGAAACAACAATTAATCAACTATTGTTTTACAAATGTTGTAACAGCAGGATGTTCTGCTTCTGTACCCTTTGCTTGTTTTACTAGTTCTATCCCATGGGGGACCTAGAAACTGTTGGCCTCAAAGGTGTATAAAACATGTTTGTCAACCCCCAGTCGAGGCTCGAGTCCGATGCTCAGCTCGGGTCCTGGCCAGTAATAAACTCCTGTGTGGATTTAATATCTTAATATCGGTTTCTGGTTGGTTCTTTCTTACTGGGTGTAACAAAAGCCACTCACGAAAGAGGACTCCCAGAATGGCTTCAGAAAGTGGCAAGAATGACTGGGTGTGTTCCAAGTGAGGGAAGTATATTGAGGAGGATTAATGACAATGTGTCTTTTATTTTAATAATTTTTAAAAATTTTTTAAATGTACTGTATTTTTATCACACCTGGAACAAGTCTTTTCTTCATAATATACAGTTCTAAATACATTATTCTCAACTACCACACTTTTCCAGAATATGTGGTTTAATTCTTATTTCTTTTGCAAAATGTTAAAGGAAAAAAGAAACCTAAGTGCCTTTGAGTGTGAGAAAAATAATGGGGAAGCATCTGTATCTACCTTTAACCAAGATTGCAAAAAGGCATATATGAGATGGAATATGTGCCTTTCTATGTATTTATACCTCTTTTGATTCTTATCTCAAATTTGTATCCAGTGTAAGAAATCCCTCATTAGTAGAGATTTCAGCTGTCATCATCCACTAAAGGACAACAAAGCAGCTACCACAGCAATAGAGAGATGGATCCTAACATTCAAGACCTGGTTACTCTGGAATTGTGTGACCAAATGAATCATTATTTTAAAGGGCAAAATTGAAGCACTTAAAATATCAAGGTAGTGATTTATTTGAGAACCTTTACATTATATGGTAGAATGACATTATAATACATTTTATTGTTAAATGCGCTTTTGAAGTAACATGGAATCATATACCCTCTGAATAGGACCATCATATAAACTGCGAGTCTGCCACAACATGACCTAGGTAAGAGGATAAAAAGAGTATTGTTCTTGTCCTTTACTATCAGGCTTTCCACTGTACCGATGGCTGGCCTTCTACTGCATTTGTGTTGATGCCAGTCCCCAGTTGGGTTACTGGGGATTAAACTCAGGGCCTTTGGACTGAGCTCTGTCTTAACCCCTTTATTTATTATTTTTGATACAGGGTCTCACTGAGTTGCTAAATTGCCCAGGTAGGCTCAAACTTAGGATCCTCCTGTCTCAGCTTCCCAGAGTGCTGGGATTACAGACGCGCATCACCACACCCAGACATGTGTCCAGCTTTGCAGAAGGCTCAACTTGAGATCCTAGCCTAAGACAAGGAATCAGTCCCACAATAAAGAATTAATTTTTTTTAAAGATTTAATTTATGTATTAGCATGCATCTCGTTGATTGATAATATTGGTCCCACAGCAGGCAGCATGAATTTTTGAGATATTAATCCATAAACACATGAAATGACATGATCGCGTACCTTTTCTTCCACTTTAATTTTCTTCTGATCTAATTCTGTTAATCGCAGTAGCATAAATATTACAAAGAGCCAGTATTCAGATTTCTCCTATTTAAAATATCAAGAAGAACATTCAGTTGCCTTCCTTTCCCCAGTTCACAAGCATCAGCATGCTGTTCTCATAAGCTTAGACTTTCACAATTACCCTGCCATCCCCACACCCCTCCTAGGTTTCTACGTGTTCACACTTAGCCCTCCCCTTCTATTAACAACTCAGATGCAAACTGTGCCTTGTAATTCATAAAGATCTTCAAATGTGCACATCTTATTAATCTCCCTATGAGTTGATTAGGGTAGGCAGGATTATCCTCATTTCTAAAGAGAAAAGCAACTGAGCCTCAGAGATGTGAAGCATCTCATATCTAAATTCCAAGGATTCAAACACTGCCTTCTAATGCCAAAGAGTTTTATTCCTGGAAATGATGAAATTTTACTATTTATTATTATTTTTCCTTTTTTGTATTCTTTTGTATTAACTTGTGTCATTCACCATGAATTTGTCTTACAATAATAAAATTATATTCATTTGTAAAACAAATTCTTTATTACTCCCTATAATCTGCTGCATTAGGGTTATCTGCATTTTAAAAATGTAATTTTTTCTTCATACTAAGCTGCTACATCTCTTAGAAGTGCAAGATATTAGTGGATGCTGCCATTCATAGATGAGAAGGCACATGCAGTAAATATGTATCTTTTACCTAGGTTCCCAATGCAAAGAAATGAGGAGATTATTTTATGTACTTCCACATGTAAATATTGCAGGAGGCTTCATATATGATGTGTTAATGTGCATCTAAAGGTTTGTGCAGTTTACACAGATGTATGCATGAACACTTTCCACAGATCTGAAACCGGGGTGTGATGAGGCCATTAAGCCCTCTTCCTTAACTTCCAGAAATGCTTTAAATTGCCTGCCACTATTCCCATACCAGCCATTTTTATTTTTTAATTATTTTCCTATCTGGAATAAATATATACAGAAGGAAATAGGTATTAAAAAATAATACAATCAAGAGTCTGTGGAAGGATATAGGTAGAGAAAGGGAATGAAGGATAAACAATGTTATGGCTTGTATCTAGATGTCCCCCTAAAACCTCATGTAGGTGGGGCTTTTTGGAGGTGGCTGGATCTAGGGTGTATGATGCAGGGATTAAGGATGTGTTGCTAGGATTGATTCATAGTGCAAGGCTAGGATTAAGGCTTTCCCACCACGGGTGTGAGTGCTTTTGGCCCTAAGGGACAAAATGAGGGCTGCTGTTGTCACTTGATGCTTGCTACTCTGCTGTTTTGCTGCCTTCTGCCCTCCATGAACTATTTCTCCTCTGTGAGGCCCCTCTGCCATGTCATTCTTCCTTGGATCCTGCATTGAATTCAGGAATTCAATTCAGTGAATTGAAACCTCTACAAATGGTGGTGAGCTACAATAAATCTTTCCTCCTTTAACTTTGAATGTCAGGCATTTTGTCTCAGCAATGAAATAAGTAACTAAGACAGACAAAGAGGGAAGGAAAGAGGCCAAGAAAATGGATCTGTCAATGGAAAAAACAGAGAAACCTGGAAAAAATGTCCCTGAAGCTTAAATGATAGAGGTTAAAAACCTCTACGACAGTGACCTCTAAGACCTTTTGCCCAAACTGCTACTCAAAACCCACTTATTTATTGCAAAGTTCCAACACTGCAATTAAACTTGAATACTGAGGTTTTCATTTAGAAACACAACCCATACATTAACATCTTTTGTCTTAAAAGAAAAACAACACACATGCCATAGGTTCACCACCACTGTCATAGTAGATAGCACATAACTTGGCTCTATAATTACATATTTTACAATCAAGCCAATTTCATGGCTATATCCAGGCAAATTATGTTAGGTATCTAATCTTATACTTTCTTTCCCCCATTGTAAAATAGGTACAATATTCTGTCTACACCTCTGGGGTCTCGTATTCTCTACTATGAAAGAATATTGCTCTACAATCTGATTAGCTTTCTCCTGTAATCTTTAGAAAGTCCTAAATGACCACACAGAGCAGATAAATGACATTCAACTTTAGGTTTTACTCTGACAGTGGTGCCATGTCATAGCTTGTTAGTCACAGAGAATAACAATTTCTTGAAAAGCAACACATTTTAGGATCTACTTTACTTAATCCTTCTAATTGATTTCTAAGAGACAGCAAATGAAGATTTTTTTTCAAAAATGTATTCACATTCTTGATCAAAAGTACTTATTGAAGATGAAAAATTCCAGAATCATCCTCCCCTATTTCCCCTCCCCAGATATATAAATGATCATTCTCACCTGAATTGGATTTCTTAGAAGATTGATAATTCGAAGGATAGGAAGATTTTCAATATATTCTATTTCATCCAGCTCAGCAATCTGTTTAAGCAAAGAAAAAATATTGTCAACAGATAATGCACAAAGACAATAGAAAATATGATATAATAGGAGCCACTTTGGAATCTTTAAATTCAAATTGAATTTAAATTTGAAACTGAAATTGAAAATTTGCTGTTGAATATCTTGCTTTTTAATGAGAATCCCCAGAGCTAGTACATAGCTCTATGTAGTACATAGGAATTATTACAAGCCCCTTCAATACATGTGGACACACACTGCCACATCTTCTTTTTCCCCCTCTGGCAAGAGAACAGTAAGCTTCCTCTTCTCATCCATGTTTATTTAAGTAGAAATAAAATAGCACATACAGTAAGAGAAACAGTATGAAAATCCATGCATGGATGACTTGGTTGCCCCCTTCCCCTCCTGGCCCTCCCACACCACCCCCAATGTCCCACCCCAGCCTGCCTTCTGCTCCCCGCTTACCATGTGTGGCTCTGTCACTTTTCCCATAGGAAAGAATTATTTTAAGGAAAAGTGAAAATTGTTTCTTTTTTAAAAATTTTTTTCTAATTCTTTAAATTCTTTTATTGGTACATTTTAGGTATATAATATGTTTACATTTATCATTGGGTGCTTGTACCTGTACATGATGTATCTTGGTTCTTATCTTTTCCCCATTACCTATGCGCCCTTCACCCCTCCACCCTTCCCTATTTACATAGACTTTGTTTCCATTTTTTTTCTTTCCTCATAATCTTTCCTTTCCTTCTTTCCTTGAAAAATGTTTCTTGATGGGTATCTACTGTTCACCTTAAATTTTTTTGCTAAATTGAATGCTTTATACACTTTTTTATATAGGCTGAGGTTTCATGGTTCTAAAAAAAATAAGAGAAGATAAGATTGCCTGTCAGGTCTTTAACCCAGGATAGGGCTTGGATTGCCTAAATTTTTCACAAAACACAAACATTTTTATTGAAATTTCCTATAATAAGTAAAATAATAATCTTATTTCAAGTATAGATATTGAACTTTTGCAGTAAGTTAAGGTGTTGGTTAATCTTTATTATAAAGTTGGTTGAATTGAGAAACATGTAGGAAATTGGTAAAGCACATTTCTGGGTATGTCTATGAGGGTATTTCTTGAGAAAGTTAGCACGTGGCATAGCAAACTGAGGAGGAAGACCTGTCCTGAACATAGACAGCATCATGTAACAGGGTGGGAGCCCAGTAAAACAAAAACAGACTCTCACCCTCTCTGCTTCCTGGTAGCCATGAGGTAAACACCTTCTCTCCACCCCACACTTCTGCCATGATGCTTCTGCCTTCCCACAGGCCCAAGAAGAATGGAGCCAGCTAATCATGGACTAAAATCTCTGAAACCGTGAGCCAAATTAAACCTTTTCTTCTTTTCTCAAGTATTTTGTCACAGTGACAAAAAGCTAACACAGCTCTTTTTAGTTCTGGTTTTTGTAAAAAAATCTAAATCATTTCTGTATGCATTATAAAAGCATTTCAACATCCAGGTCACCAATAACTCCTGAATTATCCAATTACAAAATTCAACTAAATGTAAATTTAGTCCCCTTGTGCTGGGGACTTAGCACAGTGATTCCACCGCCTGCCTCGCAAGTGCAAAGTCTTGAGTTCGATCCCCAGTACCAAAAAAAAAAAAAAAGTAAATTAATCCCAAAGCTAAATCAGTGAAGGAACATATGCACCCTGTTCAAAGGATGCCATTTTCAAAGATAAAATATGAAAAGGGCCAGGGATTTAGCTCAGTGGCACTGCGCCTGCCTGGCAAGTGCAAGGTCCTGAGTTCAAGTCCCAGTACCTCCCCCCCAAATACATGAAAAGTAAGCTCCAAAGTTACACTATACAATGTGTACACATTAATCTGGCTAGAGCGACGTTATGCTATTATGCACATCTTTTCCCATAGACTGTCCACTAGACTGCCATTTGGATCATCTACAAGAAAACGATTTTATATTGCTATAAAAAGGTTTTATATTGCTATTCAGGAAGGTGGGAGGTAAACTTGGTTCATATTGCTCCATTAGAAGTTTCAAGTAGTGGACAGATTTCCTTCTAGTATATAGTTCTTGTTCTTGTTACTAACACAAACATTAAGAAGAAATGTGTTCCTGCATCCATCCTGTCTCATCAACAAGTTCTGACCACATGCACCTGCAGGCATTGCTGGTAAGAATAGAAATTGGAACGGTCTTTCTGCAGGGCAATCAGATGTGTAAATATGTACATAAACTATGAACCAGCTGTCCACTTCAAGGGGTTTACACTAAAGAGATCATCAGACACACAAAAAATAGATTCAAAAACATTCAGTCTAAAGTTAAAAGTTCCTAGTGTCTTAAGAACATCATTACATGATTAAATGAATCATAACACAGTCCTACAGTAGGAACACTACGTACTCATTTTAGGATATGGTGATATCTATGGCGATTGATATGGAAAGATCTTGATATGTTGTAAATACCATGAGTGCAATGATCATGGACTACATAAAAGCATATTACCAATAAGATGTCTACTGGGTCTTCTGAGAATCAAATGTAAGGGATCCAACTTTCCTCCCAATCCTTCCAAGGGTAGGATGAGGTTTGTTAGAGGAAATAAGCCTGAGAGCAGCTGGGCTTTAAGTCTCCACTTCAGCCAAATTAGCCAAGTGCAGGAGATACTGGTTCTGCATGTGTTCTCCTTGCTGCACAATCCCACCCCATCTTTTCTCCTCCTTGTATCCTCTCTCCAAAAGGCCAGAGCCCCAAGGTTGTGCTTTTATAGAAGGCAGAGAGACAGCAATACTCCAAACAACTGAAAGTAAAGTACAACCAGAAAGGTTATATTCTTACAAGAATTTCAGCTATCTGCTGCCAAGAATGTCCCACCAGCACCTTCTGTATCCTCCCTGGCCTCTGATGGCTTCTTTCTACCCAGCAAGGATTCTGCCAACTTCTGGTTTTTGCCATTTCCTTTTTGGCCATGCTCTCTAAACATCAGCATCCAGACCTACAGAAGCCAGGTAAGGCCTTTTCTTTAAAACATACACACACACACACACACACACACACACACACACACACACACGCATGCACACACACGCACACACATCTTTAGGAAAGAACTGAGTGCAATGATTAAAGTTTTTCCACTGAATAAATCTGTGCAGTAAAACAGTTTTTTTCAATCTGTGGGGCTTTAACAACTAGATAATGATGAAGAACAATATGATGATGAGTACTGGCCTAAGAATCAACAGATGCATTGGGTATGGTGGTGCACACCTGCAATCCCAGCACTCTGGAAGTTGAGGTAGGAGGATCACAAGTTCAAGCCCAGCCTAGGCAATATAGCAACTTAGTGAGAGTCTCTCAAAATAAAAAAATGTAAAAAGGGTTGACATAGCTCAATGGAAAGGCCCTAGGTTCAACTGCTAGTACCATAAAAAAAATCAACAAATGGACTAATTGGACCAATGAAACAATATATTTAAAAAAGTAAACCACAAATCAGTGAGAAATTTATTCAGTAAAACTACTGATTAAATGAATGAATAGAAATTATTTAGCATAATGAAAAGCAAAGGAACAACTGTTGTCAAATAAATGATAGTTAAAGGCATGAATCGACTTTTATTTTTTTTAGACAGGATATATAGTTCAGGATGGCTTTGAACTCACCATGTAGCCCAGTCTGGCCTTAAATTCTCGGCAATCCTCCTGCTCAGCCTCCCAAGTGCTGGGATTACAGGTATGCACCACCATGCCCAGTTTGAATAGAGAATTTTTAAATAAGAAATCAATGATTGACAAAAAAAGTTTAATCTCTCTGATAATCAAAGAAATTCATATAAATAGAATATAAACTATCTTTTTCTCTATCAATTTGATGTAATTTTAAAATATTTGTTGATAAAGGTATATAGTAAGATGGGCCTATAATAAGCTATTTTAACGTCATATACTGCAGTGGAGTATTAATTAGTATGAACCTTCAGGAAATGTATTAACAATCTTTAAATGTCCATATCCAGTAAATCTATCCTAAGGAAATAATTAAAACTGAATATAAAGATTTATGTATAAGGATATATACTTATTTTTAATACTAAGTTATAAACATAACAAATTTTAAGAAATAAATGGCTCAATAAATCCTGATATATTCCTAGCACACTGGGAGGTTGATGCAGGAAGACTCCAAGGTTGAATCCAGCCTGGGCATCTTAGTGACTTAGTGAGACCCTGTCACAAAAGTAAAAATAGAAAAGGACTGGGATATAACTCAGTGTGAAGGCCTGGGTTCAATTTCTAGTACTTAAAAACAATCTGACATATCAGTTAATAGACTAACAACTATTAAATCAGATTTTTTAAATGTTGGGAAAATTTTGTCTCCCGAATGAGAATTGGATGCTCATCTCAGACTACCCACAAAAATAAATCTTAGTTAAAGACCAAACAGGAAAAAAAGCCTTGAAGTTATAGGAGAATATTTAAAATCTTTAGGATATGGAGAAACTTCTTAAGTGAAACATATATGCACACAAACAGAAATTACAAAAGATCACAGTTCAGTATAACTTTCAGCCCTCATTCTGTATTTACCAGATGCAAAGCTTCACTTAGTGTATGCGGACTGCATTGTGTGTCAATTCCTAGGACTGCCATGACAAATTACCACACACTTGGAGGCTTAAGACAACATAAACTTATTCTCACAGTTTCAGAAAGCCAAAGCCTAAAATCAAGGTGTAAGCAGCTCCACGCTCTCTCTACGGAGTCTAGAAGAGAATCCTTCCTTGCCTCTTCCAGATTCTGGGAGCCCCAGCATCCCTTGGCTTGTAGCAACACAGTCCCAATCTCCGTCCCGCCTTTACATGGCCACATGGCCTCTCCCCTGTGTTTGCCAGTTTTCTTCTATTGTGTCTCTTACAAGGACACTGCATTTAGGGCCACTCTAATTCCAGGACTATCTCATCTTGTGATCCTTAACTTGGTTTATTTGTAAAGACCCCTTTTCCAAACAAGGGAACATTCATAGATTCCTGGGAGGGAGGGCTTGGTCCTGTCTTTTGGTGACCACAGTTTAACCCACTCTATTTCACCAGGATTAGCTTCCAGGAGAAGTCATTCCATGCCACAGCTGCCCTTCCATCCTAGATGGCTGGCATAGTGCATCAGGGCTGGAGAGGGATGTCTGGTCTAAAGTTGAAGGAAAAATGGATAACCTCAGAAATCTCTCTGGAACCTTCTTTCTCCTTCCTTACTACTTCTTTGTGTCTTACTGAAGGCCTTGTCTCAGCTAAAATGATTCTGCTGATCTTCAGTCTCTATATCCTCTCTACACCCAGTAGGGAAACGTTTGAGCCTCGTTCTTATACATAGTCATTCCAGCATCTTACCACATGCATCTGAAGCACCAAGCAAGCACTTGAGGCAAATCTGAGTATCCTTGAGGGCTTCTGAGAGTCATACATGCAGTCAACAAACATTGTTAAGTGCCAATGATGAACTAGACACTGCATAAGGTGAACAAGAAAAAGTCCCTGAGCTCATAAAGCTAACATCATATTGAGAAAGACAGAAACTCTTCAAGATACTGAGTACATGATTTGCTATAATTTCAGGCAGTAATAAGTACTAATGGTAAATAAAGCAGTTGACAAAATAAAGAAAACAGAGAGGGGTTGCTGGAGAGGCCAAAGGTGGTCAGAAGCCATCTTTGAGGATTTGACAGAGCCTAAATGAAATGAAGCGGTGAACTGTTTTGAAAATTTTAGGAAAAGATTCTAGCAGAGATGCCAGATAAATTTGGAGGAAAGACTTCAACAGAGGTACCAGATCTATGAAGCCCCTGAAGTAGAGAAATAAGGTTGGTCTGTAGGAGGATCAGAAGAAAATGCTGGCAACTTGCCATTCCAGTCCCCTTCGGAAAGGAGCACTTAGCTCTAGGTGCCGCAACTGAGAGTGCCAGTCTCCATTCTGTCCCCAGGCAAGTGGACTGGCTGTGACAGGCCTTCTTGGGCTGCATTGCTTAGCTAACCCAGTCAGGCAGGTCTTTGACTTGCTTTAGCAGGGTGAGTTCAATTCCATGGAGCCAGGTCACCAAGAAGTAAGCCAAGTTCATCACCATGACATAGGGATTAAGTTGGAAACTACAAATAAAGAATAAAACCATGATACTCTTGGTCTGGAAGTTCAACAAGTACTTGGAAAAGTGAGGAGGTAACACTAGGACCTGGACTCCAAATGTGCACTCAGCAGAAAACCAAGGCTACCTGGAAAGAGAAATTGCTAGAAGAGCTTCTGCTATCAGTGTAACTATGCACTAGCTCAGGCTGACTGGCCTTGGCCATCTTCTTGCATGTAAAGAAGGTATAAGCCTCCAAGGGGGCCAGGTCTCCCTCTTGCCTGTATCCCATGACAGGGTACCAACTACCACGAATCCCATGACCAGATACCTGGGCCAGATAGAATGAAGACTAATTTTATCAGGAAATCTGATCATTCCAGCATTTCCTATACTCAGCACTGACTGTATCTATATCCATGTTGTCAGCCTCGGGAGGCCACAGGCCCCCAAGGAAACATCTACTTCAACCCCTATCTTTTCAGGCCTAACAAATGTAAATCAAGAGAACTATCAAGTTAGATTAGGAGTCAAAGTGTCTTCAATCCCTTCCCCCACTCCCCACCCTGTTCCTTCTGTTCATATACATGAACAAAAGCATAAGCCAGCATCCAGTGAAGACAGGGTAATGTCCATGCATTGCTTGCCTGAGAAATTAAACGTCATGCATCTCTGAACAACAAGAAGCAAAAACAACTCTACAAAGAATTCCTATCCATGTAAATCATTGCTAAAATAAAGACCAGAGCTGGGGATTTCCTGAGTTCGATCCCCGGTACCAAAAAAAAGAAGACTAGAATCATGGTCTTCAGGAAGAATGGCCAAGGCACTCTAAAAAAACTAGGAGGGTGAAGGAATGTGGCAGTTACTTAGGACTAAAGTTCTTTCCTTGCTTCTCTTGCTTTATGAATATTACCTTGTTAATCTGTACAGAAACTTAGAAAAAATATGGGGAACAAATACAGTGAGATGATGACAATAAGACTCAAAGAAGTGACCCAGCATTCTCTGAGTCACTCTCAGACAAATATCCCATGGCCAAAAGAAAGGATAGAAATTATAACAGAGTTAACCACTTGATGTATCTTAACTGCGAGACATGACTTAAAATCTAACAGGGACTGCAAAGTGGAGTAACAAAGGCCTCCACATTGCCAGTTGACAGTAAATATTTGCAAAGGACAGACATGCAAATGACCACATGATCATAGCATGCTTCAACAGTTAAAACAAGTAAGCAATATTGAAAGTGCTAACAATATAACAATATTCCTGACATCAAATTAATCATATAAGAAGTAAAAGCTATGCTATGTTTCTTTTACATGAAAATTTTCCATTTCTAATATATAGAATTCCCAGTCATCCTGGAGAAATCTCTGAGGAACATTCAGATGTCACTGCTCAAAGAATATTTCAAAGTACTCTTGGTTACTCCCCAACCTGTCCAGTGGGAAGCCAGGGAACTAGTTATCATCATGGACTCAACTGTTGACAAAGGAGATCCTTTGGGACAAGTGGCCACTTTTAAAAATACACTCTCTTTAATATTTGAAAAATATAAACTCCTTTCTTCATTTAAGGATGAAAAGTCTCTTGAAATGGAAGAGAACAATATACTATTTGTGAGGGGTTTCTAGACTTGCACCCTCCAATATGGTAGTTACTAGCCATGTGTGGCTACTTAGCACACTTAATACAGCTAGGATCAAGTGAGATGTACTCTAAGTGTAAAACACACACTCAATGTCAAACTCTCAGTGTGAGATGACAGAAGGTAAAATATCTCATCAATAATTCTGTATGTAAATTAAATGCTAAAATTATAATATAATATTTTGGACATATTGAGTTAAGTAAAATATTTTACAGAAGCTAATTTCAGCTATTTGGTTTTTCCTTGTATTGTGGGTACTAGAGAATTTTAAAGACATCTGTGGCTCACATATATGGCAAATATTATATTTCTATGAGAAAGCACTTTAAACAAGCCTTACACCATATCCATTTCTGAAGGGAGGGCACTGGCCTTTCATTCGCTGTATTAACCTGGAGAGGTAGAACACACTGACTCTGGAGGCAAATCATTCTAGATTAGAATCCTGGCTCTGCTATTTGATTGAAAAATAGCTTTAGGCAAGTTATTTAGCTTCTCTGTGTCCCAATTTCTACATCTCTAAAATAATAGCAATAGGGTCGTATCAAGGATTAAATGAGATGAATAAAGTGCTTAGGCCAGTGCTTGATGTATAAGTACTCAGATTAAAATAACTCAGATATCTCTGGGTTATTTTATGATTGTAATTGTTACTAGTATCATTACTGTTATTCCTTTTCCTAAATCCTGAGCTGCACTGATTTGAGATTTAATGAGTGTATTCTACCTTTTCAACACTCCCTGTGTATATGTGAAATCCATTAAGCAGAAAAAAATTTTTAAAACAAGTCATCAATGGCATCTGCATAAAGGGGACTTTAAAACTACATGAAAGCGAGATTGTGCTGACTTTCCAAGACATGGCATTGGGAAAAAAAGGTCATCCTCTAGAATTAATAAACCTAGAAGTCATCAAAACAATTTAAAATACAAACCAAGTAAGATGAGGATGAATGGTTTTTATTATGATTAAGTTTACTTATTCCAAGACCTTAAGGATTAACTTTTCTTGATTTTTAGCAACCTAACAGATGATACAAGGTTTCTGGAGAAAGGGTCGTCAGCAAAACTGATAAGCCCCCTCACAGCATGACAGGCACGGTCTCCACAGCGTCACATCTTACTCCAGATAGTGCCCTTTCACAATCTGCCCAACTTTTCACTTTCAAAAAGAAATAAACCTTTAAAACAATGTAATTAGGAATCATAAAATTTTCAAAAATTATGAACTGTAGTATTATTTACTTTTAAAAAATAGTTCTGCAACTACTACTCTAGGAAGTTTGCTAGGACATTTCTAAGCTGCCAGTTCAGATAGCAGCCCTTGCAAAACTACTAACGGAGTGTCTGTGCTGACTCTCCAATATGACCTCTTATGTACACCCTGAGACTAAGAGTTGTGAAGTACATTACCTTATTATCCTCTAGGTTGATTACTTCCAGAAGGTTGTGATCCTCTAAGCCTTGGAGGCTACTTATTTGATTGTGGGACAGATCCAAGTTCTGCAGAACTTTCAGATCTTCCAAACCTGTGATCTTCTCAATCTGGTTATTGTTCTAAAATGGACAAAATACACTTAATGTTTTAAACCCATTCAACAGGACAAGTCTTCATTTTGGATACTGCCCCAAATTGCTCTAAAAAAAAAAATCAGTAAGCCATTCTTCCAACCGCCCCCTTTGCATCATTCTCCTCGCCAGAAATAAATCCTAGATTTTTCAGCTTAAAGATCAGACTGTGGTATTTTATTTATTATTTTAACATTTTCAAGTTGAGTATCCAGATCAGTAGGAAAGATGACAGCTAGATAATATAAGCTTTTGACATTGCAAGTCTAAAGCCTAATAGCAGCTCCATGTTTGTCTTTAGAAATACAAGTTTAATGCCACTCAGTTTCATTTGATCACAATAAAACTTGAATATTGTAATTCCCAGATACATTTTGTTTTCAGAAACATTCTAAACACAATGACATCACATCATGCAGGCTGTGGTAGTCTGTTGGCTTGATGGCCCTCCAACAAGCCATACCTGCAATTAGGCATGCTCTTGTGCAGTTGTCTCCTCTTCAGCCTAGCCTGGCCTCTAACTTCCCTTATAACCAAAAGAGGATATCAGGAGTATGCCATTTCAAAGCCTCAGGGCAAGACCTGAGATATCATGAAGAACTGCAGCTATTCTATTGTAGAAAACTTGTGCAGAGGTCACCTAGAAATAAAGTCATGCAAATAGGCCCCAGGACTAACCACAGAGAGAACCCAGCCACCTCAGTGCCCAGATGAGTCACATCCTCAACCAGTATGTTAGCTGAATGCAGCAAGATCAACAGAAGAACCCTCGGCTGACCCTAGCTCAGATTAAAAATTGTTAGCTAATAAAATTCTTTCCCAAAGTTATTACAAGTGAGGTGGCCTGTTATGTAATCCTAGATAACCAAACAAGCTCTTCAAAAATTCACACATAAGCATCTCTCAGACAATGAAAATAAAACAAAGATCCCATATTCAAATGTTGTGGTTGTTCTGATTTTCAATGTACCCACAATAACAAGAATTATAAAAATTTACATTCTTTTGCACATTTTCCAACCCATTTCATTTCTTAGTTTTCTTAGCTTTGAGATATAGGAATATGTCAGAGTAAAATTAAAACCTTTAGTTTGAGTTGAGAACTATGAAAAAGAATAATATTGAAGTCCCACTTAATACTTTTACCTGTCCTCAAATATTCAAAACTTTTAATGAGCATTAAGAACTGAAAAATTAAAAATATTCTCTTCCATCAATAATATTTTCATTGGTACATGTTTCTTGGTACAATAGCAAAAACTCATTTCCATCCTGTTTTTCATAAAGTTTTGCTTCAATAATGAGCCAGATTTGTGTCCATTAGTATAATTCTATGGCACCTTAAAACATGTTAATAAAATATTAATAATCTATAAAGCTTGGTTATAGCACATGAGGGTTTATACTATTCTTTGGTTATATATTTGAAAAATCCCATTATAAAATGAAAAAAATATTCATAGCCCCATTTGCCAAAGTGAAGTCAAATTTCCTTCTGTGCAGAGTTCAAAAAAGCTATAAAAAGTATTATAGAAAAGAGAAAAAACTACACAAAATTTATCACATTACCCATATCAATTTAATGTGTTGAAATAAGACTTCAATATCCTATTCCAAAAAATGCCCATGTACAAATTTATATACAATTCACTTCTTCAAAAAGAAACTTTGAAGAGCTTTAGATGTGCTAGCCAGATTGTAATTCCTCTTCTCAGTGTCTCTGATGGCTTTCAAAGTTGCAGATGATATGAGCAGAGTGAGGCCTAGAAAAGTTTAATTAGATAGCCTGTGGTCATAAAAGAAACCAGAACTGAGAAAATTTCAGAATCACAGAATTTCTGAAAGTTAGGTAGTTAGAGCTTTTATCCGAGGCTGAAAAGCTGATTATCACTCCTAGACTTGAACATCCAGTTTCTGCATGAACAATTCTTCCTGCTTGTTTTATAATGATCATAGAGAAACACTTTTAGAGAAAGCTATTTTCTTAAATAAATGAAATTAGAAACATTCTTAATTTACCAATTTGGGAGAGAAAGCCAAGTGGCTCTTACTGTGAGAAAATGAAGTATAAAGTTCGGAATGCATTGTCATCACTTGCTTAGAAGCTGGACTACAGAATTAGTAAACCACATTTCTCATTTCATCTTTAAAATTATCTTAAAAGTTGAAGGTTGAGAAGTAGCAATTGGCTTGTTCTTCTTTTTCTAAATTTTAAAATGAATTCCTTTCAATAGTAACTAAAGCAACTGGCTTTCTGATTCTATGAATTAAAAATAAAAGCATATAACACTATTGAAACCAATGTATATCATTTTATGTTATAAATTCATTAAAATTTAGGAAAGAAAATCATTCTCAAAAATTTTAAAGAAAATAAATGATAGCACACTAATTTTTAGTTCTTAGGCAATGGATTCAGAGACTACAAACAACCTACTTAATCTATTTGTAGAAAATATAAGTATTTTATGCTTCTTTTTAAAAAACTGCTTGAGACAGAACTGTCAACGTGGATTACTTATGTTATTAATGAAACAAATTCTTAGGATGAAAGTACTATGTGTCATTCTTAATAATGAGTTCAATTCTCATTCCCCATAGCACTCCTCCATACTTCTTTCCACTTTTCATGCACTATTTAAAATTAGTGAGAATGTCAATACAGGCAAGTATGTAGAGAAAAGGATAAGCTTTAAACAAACTACAAAATGAATAGTACAATACTGCCAATAATCCTTCAGATTATCATAAATTTGAAATGTGACCTTCTTTGCTAATTTTAAATTTTTCAATTCAATTTATCAAATTCATTTCTATGCTTTTCTAACATGCCTTAGTAGGCAGAAAACATAAAAACCACAGGTAAGTTATTAAACTTTTCCATCCTCAGTTCCATCCTTAGTCCTGGGATACAGTCCTCACTGTAGTCTCAGAAAGGACTTCAAAAAGCACTTCAGGCTCTAAATTCAGGGCAAGAAAATTATGACATAGCCAACCTTCAGTGATATATGGCTAAATACAGTAAGATAGGGATAGTATATCAGATATCAAAAATCTGCATATAACTTAAGATGTCATTTCAAACAACAGTTCAACATCCTGTAAAATAGTTTACATAAAAAATGAATAAGCTACAAGAGTCACAGCTTGAAATCCTCCCTACCCACCCTGGGACAGATGCAATAAAAAATAGTAAAGTCATCTAGGGTAGATGGAAAAGGGAAAGAAGAATCCTGGATATTCCACTAACACTATTACAGCCCCTCACTTTAGTGATCCCTGTACTATTATTTTTTAAATATCATGTATTTGGGGGGGGAACTAGTATGATTCTGATAAATTTTTTTATAAATAACTTCCATTTTCATTGAGTCACAGTCACATGACACATCACATGGTGTTAAGGCTTGTGTCTCAATGTCCCCCACAAAACCTCATGCAATCATAGGTGGGCTTTTCAGAGGTGGCTGAATCTAGAGTGTGATGCTGGGATTAAGGGTGTGTGATTACTAAATTAGTCCACTGATGGGTTTGGCATAGTTCTAGGTAAGATTAAGGGTGCCCCATCTTGGGTGTGAGTGCTACCTGCCCTAAGGGCAGGTAGCTTAGATATAATATAAAGGGATAGAAAGACTCTGTGGCTTGAAATTTGGGGGTTGCTGCTTGCTGCCTTCTGCCTGCCCTGCTTTGCCATGGACTGTTTCTCCTCCATGATGCCCCACAGCCATGCCACCTTGCCTTGAAGACAGCCAACTATGAACTGAAACCTTTACACACTGTGAACTAAATAAATCTTTCCTCCTTTAACTCTGGGTGTCAGGTATTTCATCTCAGCAACAAGAAAAGTAACTAAGACGCATGGCTTTAAAAGAAAGCTCTCTGAAAAAACAATCTAATTTAAACTTTCTGCTTGGAATTATTCATTTATTCTCAGCACAATTTCTGATTTTCTAGAATGAGAGACTAGCATGTATTAATGTAAAAGGACTGCCCAAGTTCAGTACCAAGAAAACATTTTGAAAAACAATAAAGAATGTGTTTGAAAGCAATAAAGTAAGAAAAACAATAAATATCTTGCTTAAATTTGCTCAATATTATTTTTTTAATTCATTAAGTTTACTGGTACATTTTCACCAAAAGATATTTTAAATACTTATTTAAAATATACCTTTCTTTCCCAGTGTAAAAAATCAATCTAAAAAATGTAATTTGGACACCAAATAGGAAAATCAGTTTACTTTAGCATGGAATATTGATCATGTGTACACACATACATACACACACACACACACACACACACACACACCCCAAGCAAACTAAAGACAATAGCATTTAATGAAGAAATTAGCTCCTTATACACTTGAAAAATTCTCAGTAGTCAAAATTCATACATTTACTAAACATTACCCATTACTTCTATAAAGAATAACATTTTGCTCAACTCTCACCAGACAAAGTATTTTGATTGGTAACATGTTTAAGCCATTAACTGTTGTGATCTTGTTGTTGGCCAAACTAAGGTGAGTTAGACTGCTGCACATCTCCAGGCCACTGATTTCTTCTATTTCATTGTCTGTATACCATGACTATGTTTAAGGAAAATGTGATTGAATGGATTTTGAAGAAAAAAAGAATTAGTGTTAAATCATCGCTAGAAAACTCAGACAATAGCATAAGTATTATATGCCTGATATAGAATAAACACTAAATCCTGAGACATATTTTTATTATAGAATATCAGAATATATTGTATAATATATACTATATATATTAGAATATAACACATCATATACATTCTTTCAAATATTAGAATATAAGAAAATTAATTGTGCCTGGTGGCATACACTTGTAACCCCAGCACTCAGGAGGCTGAGGCAGGTGGATTGTTGCAAGTTCAAGAATAGCCTGTAAAATTAAAAAAAATTTTTTTAAAAAGAATAGCCTGTAAATAGCAAGGGATGGAGGGGTTGAAGGGAGGGCAGGGGAATGGGGAAAAAATAAGAACCAAGGAAGATTATGTAAAGGTGCAAATTTCCAATGATGAATGTCATTAAATTGTATACCTAAAATGTACCAATAAAATTAATTTTTAAAAAAACC